TTCCTGGAATTAGAAACCAGAAAGCTGACAGGACCAAAAGGGTTACTCTCTGACTCAGACTCTCTGAGGCGGGAGGCCTCTCGTCTCTGCATGCCTTTGTCGTGTGCACACTCCCGCTTCATTACTGCCTTGGCACAGCCTAAATATGGCCACTTCCAGCTCCAGCTTCATATGACTTCCTCAAGCCACTTAAAGCGTCCAGTGACCCTCTGTCTTTCTGTATTTCCAGACAATACAGCAAGCCTTCAAAATTTTGGGAAAAAATTATGTTCTGCCGAGAATTCTATATTGCTGTCCAACTACAAATCAAATGAGGAAAGAATAAAGACAGTCAGGCATGCAATGACTCAAAACAATTTTGCCTTCCCTGTGATCTTTTTAAAGAAGCTACCAGAGGAAGTGCTTCAGTAAAACAAGAAAGTGAATCAATAAAGTGAATAAAATGAGATCCAGGAAACAAGGAATCTAACAGGGGGAAGGGGTGGAAGAAATTCTAAAATGAAAAAAGGGCAATTACTTCAGAAGACAGCAAGAGAAAAAGGGCTTCGAAAAGATCTCTAAGGGGTAAAAAATGGAATTGATATTAACTGATCATCTTTTTGAAGAGCCATGACAGATCTGATAAAAGAATAAAGATATGGATATGGAAAACTCTGCCAGTAAAAAAAAATACAATACAATAAAATCAGGTGATCATTCTCCAGGAAAAAACTCTAGATTTTACGAAAGAAACATATACACATGTCCATGATTCAGTCAAAACCTTAGTTCCGGCCGGGCGCGGTGGCTCACGCCTGTAACCCTAAGCACTCTGGGAGGCCGAGGCGGGAGGATTGCTTGAGCTCAGGAGTTCAACACCAGCCTGAGCAAGAGCAAGACCCCGTCTCTACTATAAATGGAAAGAAATTAGCCAAACAACTAAAAACAGAAAAAATTAGCCGGGCACGGTGGCACATGCCTGTTGTCCCAACTACCCGGGAGGCTGAGGCAGGAGGATCGCTTGAGCCCAGGAGTCTGAGGTTGCTGTGAGCTAGGCTGACGCCACGGCACTTTAGCCTGGGCAACAGAGTGAGACTCTGTCTCAAAAAAAAACCCTTAGTTCCTCATTTTTTCTTATCCCCATCCAGTCAGTTACTGAGTACTACTAGCTCTTTCCCACATTTATTGCCTTCCTTTCAAAGGTGTTTTCCAGGTCTTTATCACCTCCCACTCAACATATTTCAATAGTCTCCTCCCTGGGGAGCCCTCTGAGATCACCAACTGTGTCTTACTCATCACTGTATCTCCCACACTTACCACACGGCCTGAGAGCTGCTGCCTAACAAATGGTTCATCAACTGCAAATACTGTCTCTGCCTCCAATCCATTGTATATACTGCCACCAGGCTTACCTTTCTAAAATGCTAATTTATACATGCCACACAACCATTCAGAGTTTTAATGGCTTCTTATTATAAAGTCTAAATTACTTCATGCTGGCACTAGAGGCTCTATAAAATTTCATTCTACTATTTATATGAATACTCTGCTTCAGTTAAACTGCACTAGTGGATACTCCTGTTTCATTCATCTAACAGGTATTTATTGTGCATCCCAGGCACAGTGCCAAGCCTCAGGGAACAGAATGAGGTATAACACAGTCCTTGCTCCTTATAACCTAGTATTTGTGTTCTCTAAATATATCCTAAGTGTTTTTACTTGCGAAGGTTCTCCCTAAGAAAGAATGCCTTTCTCAACTTCTTAGCATCATTAAGTATTAGAGTCAGCACATATGGATGGTCCCCAAATGTGAAAATTAGGTTCCTTTGGAAGGTGAAACTAGTAAGACCAGACAGGTAAGATAGTATTAATAAACAATTTCTACCATTTACTGAGTACATACTGTGTGCCAGGCATTGTGCTGAGTGATATTATATTGATTATTCCATTTAATCTCCATGGCCTTTTGAGTTCCTTCAAGGTCTATTTGCATCCCCAGTGTCTTGACACCCAGTACATTCTGTATTTATTTATTGCTGCTTAAGTACACCATCATCATCACTTGCAAACGTTAAAAACACTTATTTGGGCAATGAATTATGCTGGGAGGTATCCTTTGAGATCATATAACAGATGTTCTGAGATGCTGCAAAAGGAGGTATTAATGATTTTTGAAACTCTCCCCTGATCCATGATTCTCTTTCGAACCAGAGACAGGGAACTACACAGTGACAAGACTGAAACAAAGACAACACTCCGAGTTCAGCCATAGTGAAGGCACGCTCAGTTCAGGTTTCCTACAAGCAAAAGTCTGGGTGATGCTGGTCACCAGCCTGGTGGCCCAAGGTATGTCCAGAAGAGCCTTAAGCACCCAAGCAATGAGGGTGCTATTATACATCTGACACCTTGGTTATTCTCTAGGAGGAAAAGGCTGAAAGGGAAGCCCAGAGGGAGAGAAAAATGCTCAAGCCCTGGCTATCCACAGGAAAATTCAAACCAATATGAGGGTGAAACAGGTCCAAAGGTATTAAAGACTTTATTTATCTAGAGGAAGACAGATGAATCAGACTTTCCAATGGGTAGGAGGTAAGACCTGTCAGGAAAGAATGCCTGTGGGAGAGACAAGTTAATAGAGCTGCCTCTACTCAGCTGCATGAGCAGAGGACTACGAGTTGAGGCAACAGATCTTTGGCTTCTATATGAAGATCAACAAGGCAAAAGACAAATACGATCTAGAGGTGGGTTTTGAACAATGTAGTTTCTTAGCAAAGGCTGACGGCCAGACTGAGTATATTAAATACTCGTAGCTGAGTCCTCTGAGCACCATTTATCAATATAGATCAGGGTTTTCCCTCTTAGAAAACAAAAAGTTTGGAACTTGCAATTAATTTGCCACTATGTTTTTGCATAGCAAGTAATTGATTCAGGCTTTTGCCTGTCCTTGGCATTGTTTACTCCATTTTATTTAGGCTTTCCTCAAATCAATAACTACCACTGTTTGAGTGTCACCAGAATGTAGGCTCTATAAATGTAGGGATTTTGTCTTGTTTATCCCAGCAAAAAGACAGTACAAGACACACAGTAGACTCTTAATAAATTTGTTAAAGAATTTGTGTGATGGGTCAGATGCTTTACGTATGGTGATTCTAACCTCATACAACCCTTCCAAACATCCCAATTATTCATCAGGAAACAGGCATAAAGGAGTTAAATGCTGCCCTTCACAGGAATTAATACAAGTCCTTCTCACTCTAACACCTTACACTCAGTAATGACCTACTATATGCAAAGCACCTCTCTCTTACCTCCTTCACCACCCTCCTCATTCTAAGACTGCCTCCTCCCATTTCCAGAAACAGGATCTCCTAACACTCCCTATTTCCAACCCCTTAACTGCAAATTATCAGAGGAAAACATACACCTCATCTGTGATCCTTGGCAAGGACCTGCCAAATGTTAGCCTGTGCCAGTTTTCAGGAAGAACTATGAGTATCAAGCAGTCTGACCCTTTAGACAAAAATTTTTATGAATCTCAATTCCCTTGGTTAGGCTACAGTTATCAGTAAATTTTATTTCTTCATGCAGAATAAAAATTTTAAAGAGAAAAGGACATTTAGTCTAGCCATATAACCTACTACCACTTACTCCCTTGACTCCCAAGTCATCCTACGGCAAAAAATCTGAGCTCTTTTTCCTTTTAGTCAGGTGAAAAGAATGAACTTTTGAATCCAATTACCTGTTTTCTCCTATATTCAATTAGCTTTAAAGGTTAACAAAAGAAGGCCAAGGCAGGTGGATAGCTCAAGGTCAGGAGTTCGAGACCAGCCTGAGCAAGAGCGAGGCCCCGTCTCTACTAAAAAATAGAAAGAAATGATCTGAACAATTAAAAATATATAGAAAAAATTAGCCGGGCATGGTGGCACATGCCTGTAGTCCCAGCTACTCAGGAGGCTGAGGCAGAAGGATCGCTTGAGCCCAGGAGTCTGAGGTTGCTGTGAGCTAGGCTGACGCCACGGCACTCACTCTAGCCCGGGCAACAAAGCGAGACTCTGTCTCAAAAAAAAAAGGTTAACAAAAGAAAAATCAGAGCTAGATATTTGATTAAACAAGGAAATAATACACTACTTCAGAGCTTTCTTTTTTTTTTTTTTGAGACAGAGTCTCACTGTCGGCTGGGCTAGAGTGCCGTGGTGTCAGCCTAGCTCACAGCAACCTCAAACTCCTGGTTAAGAGCTGTCTTTTCTTTATCTTCCCTCACCCCTCAAGGGTTAGCAGAATTATGGAAGAGGTAGTGTTCAGTAGAATAAAAAGTATACATGTTTTCTCAGGTCCAGAAAGACTCACATAAACCAAGTTATCATGTTCACACGTTTCTGGGATCTCTGTGCCTCCCTCAGCTCATGAAGCTAATTTCAATAAATATCCTTCTCCTATCACCACGCCAACAACAATTCAGAGCTATATGTGGAAAACCTACCTTAAACTTTTTGAGAAGCATCTATTTCTTCTTTTGATTGTCCCACCTCCCGGCAAGGAGAAATCAAAGGTAGGCTCCCTCCCCACTTCCACCAGGATCAGTTAGATTTGCTCCAGATTACAACCCTCACATTAGCAATAAGATACAGCACATATAATACATTCCCACTTCCCTCTTCCATTCCCTTTATAGTCATGAGGTCCTATCAAACGCACATCCCAGAACAGGTCAGACTTTATTATACCAGGCATTTTGTTGCTATTCTAAGTTGTGAAGCAGTAATACAAACTTTTCTTTTTCTTTCCACAGCTTTGTAAGCCTTGTGCCAAAAGAAACTTTTAAAAAAAAGCTACAGCAAGATACATCTGACACTAGCTTGGTATCTTTCTCGTTACAATATGCACAGAGACAAAAGAAATAGGACACAGAGGAAGAAATGCTAAATATGCCAAGAATCTGGGGAAACAAAAGCTGGGGCAAATCAGTGTACTCCTTGCCCTTCCCTCCTCATTGCCAGAGCATACCTGCCTTCTTCCCTCCTCAGCACCAGTAAATAAAACGAGCAGCTTTCACAAAAGTGGCTGGTGTAGTTTTTAAATATTGGATATGTATGTGCATTTCTGTACCCCAGAACAACTTTTCCTCCCTATCCCTCAACACAGTAAAATTAGCAAGTCAAATAGAATGAGAACACCAATTTTTCTGGAAGAAATTTTTATTTAACACTGTAAAGGAAAGAGAGAAGAAACAAGCAAAGATAAGCAGGAGAAGAAAAGAGCCAACCCCAGTGACTGACTCGGCATGAAAATGAGAAAACAAAGACAGACCATGGTGCTCAAAAACGTCCACACAGTACTGCTGGAGAAGGAAAAGGATCTGCGCTGTCCAAGTGCACCACAGAGTAAAACTGTCCAGCTTCAACTAAGTTATCTGTCAACCTCTTTGGTCATTTCTTTTTACATAATGCCCATAGCAGTTTTTGTAGCCTTTTCTTTTCTCCTAAATTCACAAACTCTCTTATCGTTGTCTTTGGACAGGTGACCTCTTGTCATAGTTAAGCAGAGAGGAGGAGGCAGGATATTCCTGATAGGAGGAACTACATGAATAAAAAGGTAGGAACACAATTTAGTTGGAGCTACATGGCAAGCCATCAAAAGGAAATAGACACCTTACCTGAGATTCTTGGCAAGAACCTGCCAAATGTGGGAGCTAAGGTTTATGGGAACAGAGAGAGATATGGCTGAAATAGATGAATAAGACCCTAGTAGGGATAGTCTTGAACCTTAAACTAAAGATTTTAGATTTTGTGTCTTATGGAGGTAAAAAGACTAGGTATGGAGTCAAAAGACCTATTCTAGCTCTGGATTCAAATTCTAGCTCTGTAACATACCGACTATGTATGTATCCTTGGGCAAATGAAGTTTTGAGATACTATTTCTGTTTACTTAGTTACCAAAAAAGGATACTGCCTACTCAATCTTCTGTTCCCACGGGACTGCTCTGAGGATCAAATAAGAGTCTGGATTTGGAACCCAGAGCCATCTGAACTCTGACTCCAAAGTCACTAAAGCTTTCTCCCTTACATCACATTCACTTTAATCTTTCTCTACCTGTTCTATGTATATTAGTTTTGTGTTTCTAACTAAATACTAAGCTCACAGGGGCAGAGATGTCTTTTGCTTTTTATTATTCAAAGAATCTTCTGAAACTACTCAGCACTATACAATCACTGAAGTCTCACAAAGAAGACACATCTAACTATAGGAAAGGTTTCATCCATTGTGCTATACTATGTATAGTCCACATATAAAAACCTGTGACACATGATCACAGAAAGGACACATGATCACTGCCCAAGTTTATCAAGACATTCAAGTTCATTAGACTATTAGCTCTGACTTGAACTAAGCAGAATAAACAAAGCAACCATAAGTCAAAGGTCTTGCTTAGGCCGGGCGCGTTGGCTCACACCTGTATCCTAGCACTCTGGGAGGCCGAGGCGGGCGGATCGTTTGAGCTCAGGAGTTCAAGACTAGCCTGAGCAAGAGCGAGACCCTGTCTCTACTAAAAATACAAAGAAATTACTTGGACAGCTAAAAATCTATATAGAAAAAATTAGCTGGGCATGGTGGTGCATGCCTGTAGTCCCAGCTACTTGGGAGGCTAAGGCAGAAGGATCGCTTGAGCCCAGGAGCTTGAGGTTGCTGTGAGCTAGGATGACGCCATGGCACTCTAGCCTGGGCAGCAGAGTGAGACTCTGTCTCAAAAAAAAAAAAAAAAAAGGTCTTGCTTATAAAGAATTTATTTATTCTGCTTATCTCAAGACTCAGTTAAACAGAAATTTGAAACAGTTGTATCTTCGCTTTCAAAATGTGTTGATACAATTGATTTCAAATAAGTCTATAAATTTACATGCATGAATAAGGAGTTTTCAGGACACACATCTTAACCCCAAGCTACGTGAGTGATTCACAACCATGGTTTTTGAACCTCTGTGAGGCCATGAGGTTACTACAAGGAATCTGTATACCCATAATTTTCAGTCTGAATAAATAACATATATTACAAATATGTATGTATTTCAACTGGATGTAGATTCTGGTGTGACTAATAAAGACAAACTGACTTAAAAGCATTACTGAAATCATAGCAGCTTTTTTATGTATTTTTTCATCAAAAAATACTAAAAATATAGCTATCATCTGTTGGAAGGGAATTTAATAATTTTTGAATCTTAAAAACAGTATTTCTTATTAGAAAAGGTAAAGAATCACAACAAGCCTACATGCCATGACTCACAGATCTAAGTGTCCTAGTTGAAAAAGCAAAGGTAAAATACAGATTCCACTTCTGTGGATATCAAGTATAATATGGCAGCAAAACAAAGCTTACATGTATAAAATCTTAGAGTTGAATGCCTATAATTCCTCTTGTCTGTGGCAGGTATGAGAGATCAAAACCTCATAATGGCCTTTGGATCTGACAAAGGCTCTATTTTGATTTCAGAAAGTATCTCCAGTTGTATGCATTATATTCTATATACTCTATTTTAAACCGCTGGGACAGCCCAGTGGCTCCCAGCCTGAGTGTTGAAACACTGACATTACTCCAAGCTAGGATTTCCCCCTACAGGATAGCCGCTTGTGATATATTTGCCCCATCAAATCTCTCCTTCACTCCCTGCATCAGAACTTATATGAGACTCACTTTGGAAACTCTCAATAAGAGTACTCTCTCCTACTAATCATGCCCGATTCCCAAATCTTCACTGTATTTATTCTTGCAAACAGCACTTTTATCTTCCCCTCTCTTTACCACAGAGGCCAAAGAGGGTTTTTCCCTAACACCCAAATATCTATTTGAATACCAGCCCTGCTCCTTCTCCTAAATTCTGTCTTCCTTCACAGCTGTCAGCGGCCTCCCTAGATCATCAGCTCTAGCAACCAACTCTGAAGTGCCCCTCACCTCCAAAGTCCCAAAGGCTGTTTTGTTGTTGTTGTTACTTAGGAAAGACACAGACTATGCTTCTCTCCTGATTAATTTTGTTAAAGTTGATACATTTAATTTGTATTCCTTGAGGGAATAGCATCTGGAAACCAGGGAGAAAGAAAATGAGGCATGCAGAAGGTCATGAGAGATTCAATTTGGTATCAAAAATTTACCAAGAAATTTTTTAAAAAATCGATAGATAACTGTATTAGAGTACGACTGATAACACAGAAGCAATGGATGATAAATACCCTTTCCTCAAAGTCATATTCTCAACCCTCAGAAATGACTAGGTTTTTAACTCCAGTGAACCCTTGCAACACAGATCATATAACAAGGTACCTACCCTGTGTAAGCTGATAGTGCCCCATAACAGAGAACTCATGGAAATACAGGGTCTAAAGGTATGTACAATGAGAGAATCAGACAATGGGGCTCCAGGCCTCTTCTGCGCCCTTGCTTACCTTACCTCAGTGTCCACCATATCCCTTCTTCCTCCAGTGTGAAATGTGCATATGTGCCTATGAATATATAAATATCTATACATACACATATATACATATATATAAATGTGCAATATAAAAACATAAAGAATTTTTTTTCCTAACTATTTAATCAAAGTGAGACTGGCTAGGGAAAAAAACAAGTTCTTCCCCCAAAATCTTCCTTCCAATTTGAGAACCAATTATTGGACCAGAGTAGTACTCAAAGAAAACCATCTAGGAAGCACCTGCCCAAATGTTATGCAGGAAATGCTGACAAAATTTATATGAACTATGGAAGCTATTTACTTAGTCGCCATTTCTACATCTTCTGCCCAGAGTAATTGTTTTTCCTTAGAAGTTAAATCATTATTGTAAGGAAAAGTCAAGGAGCTACAGCAACAGGGACAAAAATGTTACTCTGGATTCTCCAGGTTTCTCAGCTCTTCTCAGAGAACTGGCAATAGGCACTCTGAGGGAAAATTAATTTTTAATGCCAGGATTATTTCTTCTCCCTGCTCCCAACTCATTAACTCTGAAACTTTAAAGATGTTGCAGATAAATGTCCACATCTCTGCCCTTCCCACCCAACTCTCCAGTTCTGTCCAGCCAGAACTAACCCATATGAAGATGGGTTCGACTAACCTATCTGGAAACTACCCAAGAAGCAATAAGCCAAGGCACTGACCTATATAACCTCTCAACTTCCAAGTCTACCAATCTCTAAAAAAAAATCTTTCCCAATTATTATATGTGCTAACCAAGTAATTTTCTTCCCTCTTGTTTCAAAGTATAACAGATAAGAGGCAAAAATTTTTATATATTTATGTAGTCTCTCTCTGTGTATGTATATATAGGACAATTATAATGGACAAGATAAAGAAGGAAAGATATTCAGAATAAGAAAACAATCTGTTCAGCTCTTCATGGAATTGAAAGGGCAGGCCACTTAATACAAATGTAAAGACCAAGTTCACACTAATGGCTCAAGATCTGAAACTGCAAGTTTCATCTTCTCTTTGACAATCAGGGAAAGCTGAACCATCTCTCTCTTGACTCCCATAAAAGTCTCCAGATTCTTAAGTATGTAAGCCTTCAGCTGTAAAGGAATGAACACCTGAAAAGTCCAGGTTACCTAGCCTTCTGCCTTGGGCACTATGTCTAAACTATTTGAAACATTTAAGGGCAAGGTATTCCTAAAAATAAACTGCTTAACCCCAGCCACGTTCTGGTGTTAGATCAATGACTCTAAAATGTTTCTTCGTAGAATGAATGTCTCTCAAATTTCCAGGTTAATTTAGGTTAAGGAGGAAAAAAACAGAAATTATGCACACAGCAAATTGGTTGGCATCCCACATATTTCTTTCACTGTTTAACCATAGTACTGAGGTCTCTAAGCCAAGGCAGACATTTCTCACAGAGACACACTATTCACTTGGTAAAACTTAAATGGGATGAGGAGCACTCTGTGTGCATTATTTCTACTTTTCCTCCTTGTGATGGTTAATTTTATGTGTCAACTTGACTAGGCACAGGATGCCCAGATATTTGGTCAAACATTATTCTGGGTGTATCTGTAAGGGTGTTTTTGAATGAGATTAACATTTGAATCAGTAGACTAAATAAAGCAGATGGCCTTCCCTAATGTGGGTGGCCCTCATCCAATCAGTTGAAGCCTTGAATAGAACAAAAAGGCTGACTCTCCCTCAAGTAAGAGGTAACTCCTCCTGTCTGACTTCTTGAGCTGGGACATCAGTTTTTTCCTGCCTTTGAACTAGAACTGAAACATAAGCTTTTTCTGGGTCTCAACGCTGCTGGCTTTCAGGCTGGAACTTACACCACTGGCTCTCCTGGTGCTCAGGCCTTCAGACTCAGACTGGAACTACACACATTGGCTCTCCTGATCTCTAACTGGCCCACTGCAGAGCTTGGAACTTCCTAGCCTCTATAATAGTATGAGCCAATTCCTTATAATAAATGTCTGAAGAACACTAACTCCTTAACATAAATTAATCTGGAAGTCTGAGATATCTCCCATTATAGCAAGAAACACTACAGATTCATTAAGTGGGACAGCAAAATGAATCTCATGTCCTCTATCAGAGTAAAAAAAAGTGAAGAAAATTTCGGATAACTTAGCCTGATGCTATTTGCTATACTTTGTCACAACTTTTAGAGGCAGTCTACTAGTTCAGCAGGTCACTCTCTTTTTCTCTTTCCTCCTTGATTCTTTCATTCTCTACCAAAGTACAAAGACAACTCTAATCCCTTTCCCTCAGCCCCAAATCACTGTATGACAGTGAACAAAAACTGAGGAAAGACTCCTAGCCAAGAAAGAGACTCATCAAAGAGTGACATTCTTGTTCTGATCATTCCAAACTATAAAGGGCTGATGTGACCATACAAATAGTGCCCCTCTAATGTCTTTTTTTGGTACTAACAGCTGTTATATGTCCAAATTATTTCCTTTTGAGACTCTGAAGTTCCAACAACATTGCTGACCTTCATTTATTTAACTTTAAACACTTAAATGCTCCAAAGAGCATGTACGTCAGACACTGTTAGGTTGAAAAAAATAAGGCCTACCTCTCTCAGGCCAAGTTGTTTTGGGCATGATCATATTAATCAGGTTGACTCTAAGTATGGCCAGAACCAAGTAGAACACAAAAGTTTCAGAGATGAAAAATAGGCTTAAAAAATTAAAATGAGACAACGTAAAATCTTAATTCCTAAAGATCAGTGAATCACCAAAAACTGTGAATTGGCTATAGAAGCAGTAATGAAGTAATCGTATTTCTGTGCAGAAAATTATTTTAAGATTCTTAGGAAAAAAGACGGTAAACAATGAATTGGGGATCATTAAAAAAAAAATTTCAGAAGCAAAGATTTCAAACATGCTGCCCAACTCATTCCCAAAAAGGAACCAGAATCAGATTCCTACCAATCCAAGACTCCTAAGACATGTTACACTGGTTTCCTCCTGAAACTTAAAAATAAAAATGAGAAAAAGAAAGCATATGATAAGCCACTTTTTCCTTCCCACTGTAATTTTTCTTTAATTTGCTCTTTGGGGAGCAAAACAAAACAAAATCAAACAAAAATCATTAGTCTCAGATTCCTGAATTAATTTGACCCCACCTCATGGCTAATGTGGTCAAGAGTAGATGTTTTTGTACAATTAAGACAAAAGGACTTTATATCAGCAGGACTTTTAGGGCTCTGGTTCCACTATAATTACTGTAAAATACACTAATGGTGGGGTAGAGGTTGGAGAAGGAGGTGGAAACACCCATTACGGCAATATGACAGATAGCAGGCCGCTAGCTAGACTTTAAAGAACTGATTCTATTCTGGTGGTGGGAAGCCCACATAATTAAGTTTCACACTTACAAAATTATCACTCTGAATTCAGGAATAAGAGGCATTTGGTTGCAGATACAATTCCATCTGTAAATACTAACTTTAAATTTAGAGAAGAAAAACACTCATTGCATTAATATCATGGGTTGGGGTTTCTTATGAGATTCCTAAATCCATCTACTGTGTTTTTGTTTTGATACAATTTACAGCTATGGTAAGAACACTACCATAGCCCTGGTTCAGGCATGGTCTTTAGCTTCAGAAAGTCCATCGGTCATGTAGCTGGCTATCATTGCTAAATCTGTTGCTTGCAGAGGCCTCAGAGCTCTGGGTTTGCCGAGTAGAGTCCTCACCATTTAAGCTCTTCCTACATACAGGACATGTGTCATGCTGAAACAGAAAAATATCAGTCCATGTGAACAGCCTGACCTGAGAAGCTGAGAGTACTGAACACTTAAAGAACCCTGAGAGTTAGCACATCAAAAATTATGACTTGGCAACTAGAAAACAAAAAGGGCTCCAAGGTGTGATGCCAGGATATCTCCCAAATGGAACTTTTTTTTTTTT